CTTTTCCATCTTACAATCAGGTTGTTAATGCCCTGATTAAAGAAGTAACTTGGCTTTGAAGCAAAAAACATGTCGATGTCCTCTTTAACACCTTCCACATTTGCATACGTTTACCCTTTAAAATGGTGTTGCAGCTGTATCTGGAAAATATGGTGGGTGGGGGAGAACTTCCCAACCCAACTCCATAATTTTGTGTTGCGTCAAACGTGCTGTGGACGAGCATTGTCGTGGAGAATAAGAACACCTTTCCGATTGACGAGTGAAGGGCGTTTCTGATGAAGGGCTTGATTTAAAAGTTCATTGATCTCTGCATTGACAGTTCGCTGTGGATTGAGGAGTTCGAAATGAATTACTCCTTCGATGTCCCACCAAAAGCAAAGCATCACTTTCTGCGGATGGACTCCAGGTTTTGTGGTCGGAAATGGTTTTTGGCATTTAATATTCGCATAGAGAATCCATTTTTCTTAACCGGTGACAATTCTGTCCAAAAATGGTTCACGTGCATTACGTGCCAGAAGAGACGAATCAACGTTCACACGTTGGAAACGATGATCATTAGAGAGTTCATGAGGCATCATACACCTTCTTTAATGAGTTTCCCATATTCCTTAGATGTTTACGTATTGTTTCATGAGAGACATGCAATTTCAGGGCCATTTCATGGATGTGTTGCTTTGGGTTAGACTCAACAAGTGTCTTCAGAGTATCAATATCAATTCCAACGTATCGGCCCCTGCCATCACAATTTTTAAGGCTAAAGACACTTGAACGAAATTTACTGAACCATCGTTGACACTTACGAACTTTCAAAATATTTATATAACCTTCTTAGACATTCTTTGTAGCTACAGAGGTGTTGTTTCCCTTCTTGTATTCAAACAGCATTACATACCGAATGTGTGTCTCGTCGTGTGCCATCACTATAAGGGATTAAAGTATACTAAACTTTACACATTATATGGGCTACACCAAACTATGTTCCGCGGAACACTGGTGTTCCGTCCGAGATTTATAGGTGCTCTGTGTGAAAATCATGATTTTCAATTTTGATAAAATATTTAACACTTTTTTGTATGATCATAACTTATTATGAAACATTTTCCTTTGTATTAGAATTAGGTAATATTGATTTCGCATTGAAGAACAATTATAGAAGATGCCATATCTATTCTACATAATATCTTAGTGGAGAGATTTGTACCTAAAATTTTTGATAAGCATAAAAATGTAAAAATTCATTAATATGTAATTTTATGCCCAGCATGGCCAGGTGGTTAGGGCGCTCGACTCGCAATCTGCGGGTCGCGGGTTCGAATCCCCGTCACACCAAACATGCTCGCCCTTTAAGCCGTGGGGGGCGTTATAATGTGATGGTCAATCCCACTATTCGTTGGTAAAAGAGTAGTCCAAGAGTTGGCGGTGGGTGGTGATGACTAGCTGCCTTCCCTCTAGTCTTACACTGCTAAATTAGGGACGGCTGGCGCAGATAGCCCTCGTGCACCTTTGCGCGAAATTCAAAACAAACAAACAAACAATGTAATTTTATTAAATAAATAAATGAATAATATACTCTAGAGAACGCTGCGCGCGCAACACACCCTCTACACCGATATTTCACGTGTATACTGTTCCGTAAGCTTTCTCTCGGCTGAAAAGTGTTCCGTGTCCAAAAAAAGTTTGGGAAACACTGGGCTATACTAACATAACGTTTAGGTGGTTCGTTTAACTATTAGACGTGATGTGCGTTTTTTTGGGGGTGGTTAATGAAAGTATTCCAAAACGCGACAGTAATTTCTTGACGACCTAATATAACTCTACCACCGTGAAATCATCTTAATTGCTCTCCTCTTTTCCCATAAGTAAATACTCTTTCTTAGATAAGGAAATGAAACTTTACCCAATATTCCACGTGACTCCTGACTACTGATTTATATTGATAGTTGCTTATTTAAACTTCTGGTCAATATGACTATAAATACATCCTAAAATTTTATTAGCTTTACTCCTAGCTACAGAGCACTGCATCGATGGTTTGAGTGACCTATCAACCATATTGCCAATATATATATATATATCATTTTATTCAGTCACACTGACGTATATTAAATATTGAATCCAAATCACGACAACCAAAGGCATTACTTTGAATTTACTGTAATTACTGCTCGTTTGCCAATACCAACATATTCAAATCATTTTGTAATACTTCAATAACTTTAATGGAGTCAGAAATATTCAAGAGTTTAATGTTATCAGCAAACTTTGCTAATTTACTATGTATGCCTTTATGAATATCATTTAATGTAAATAAAAAGAGCAAAAGGAACAAGTGCTGACCCCTGAGGCACTCCACTGGTAACGACAGTCTAGTCTCTTTGTACTTCATTCATGACAGCCTTTTGCTTTCTCCTATCAAATCATCTTATCATGTAATTAACTAGTATTTCCTCAACATCTACGGATACGATTTTCTTAGCTAATCACTTATGTGGCATCTTATCAAAAGATATTTGAGAACTGAAGTACACCAAGTCTATAGATTTTCTGTCGTCCAGGTAACAAGTAACACCTTTGAAAAAACGAAATAGATAAAGTAAGGCAAGATTGTCCTTTCATAAATCTATTTTGATACGTTTAGAGAAAAAAATCACGTTAAAACATATTCTACGTATTTTATTATTCATAAAAAGTATCTGGTATAAAACTAAAAAATACAAATATAAATATACATAGCCATATATAACTTTTATTTATAAAAAAAAAATTACACATTTTTCATATGGTAATGTAAGCTAATACAAGGCTACTTCTAAAAATATATAAAAAAAGGGACAAATGAAGCTTAAGTAAAAATTATAACTACTTTTTAATTTTAAAATGTGGGATGTTGCCGAGTTATTTCCTACAGTCAACTTCCATTTATGAAAATAACTTAAACTTTTATACGCACTCAGACGCATATATATTTCTTATGCGTCATGATAAACGACATCATGACGCCATTCTTCCACGCCTTAGTTGCATCGTAAAAACGTGTCTGGTTAGATTTTACGAAGAGCGCATGTCTACAAAGATTTTTTATGTGTGTGAGCTTTATACCTACTTGTTTTTATACGTCAAATATAAACATGTTCATAATTTAAAAATAAAAATTATCGCATATAGTCTAAGTTAAAAAGGCTAAAAAAACTCACATTACTTGATTCTAATCGTTAAAAAAATCTAGAAATTTAGATATTCAAGGCCTATTGGTGTAATGCCACCCCACGTAGCAGGTCAACAGGCAGTAATGGCATACTGAAATATAATAGATTCTGTGTTTCAGTGTAGAAACAATAAAAAACAAAAATAGCTTTGAAACTGTCCATAAATCACATACCTAAACATAACTTGAACTAAAACTTGAGATATCGGAACTGAACCCCTCAGAATCAAGAAATTATATGGAACCATTGATGACTAATGTATAAATAGGCTAAAAGGTAAATACAGGCTACAAATGTGAAGCCTTGTTCCAATAAACTGAAGAGGACTGACGTAACTTCAATATGATGTTGCATATATATATATATCCCCTGCACTTTAAGCTGTAGGTGCGCTATATGAAGGACAATCAATCCCTTAGCGCAGGTGGTAACATAAAATTAACTTTTGATATGAGCAATTTGGAATATCTTTTTTAGATTTATGGATTACAAAAATAATATTGTAATATTGAAACGGATTTATATCACAAACCTACTCATTCACACCGGTGTTAAGATATTTATAGTAATTACCATTTTGTTAAGCTGAAATAACTTCTACTGTCTCTAACTCGGAAGTTAAACAACAGATATTGGTGAAATTAAAATCTTACCTTAAAAACTATCATTATGCAGCAAATATAACAGAGAAAGGGTGTAACTTATCCTAACTTATTAGGAAAGTTAACAATAACCATAATTGTAGCATAAACGAAAAATAGCAAGTTATCCTTTTAATAATCATCTACTGTCGTGGCGGTAAAATAAATATTAATAATATCTAATAGAAACTGGAAAGCTAAATTAAAAAATTAAAAAAAAATCAGATGATCAAAAATACAGTCCTGTTATCCAAAGTCCTGGGTTCAAGTCCCAGTCCTGGAGTTTCTTTTCACTTATTGGCTTTTTTACTTACAATAATATTTGTTAGAATGTTTACTTTCATTGACTGATAATATGAATTAACCAATGACCTATACATTAGGTAACCTGTTTTACGGCAGTTTTTCTGAGAGCGACCTTCACAGTAGGGATTTACATTTAAACTATAACAGACATCCAGAAGTCATCAGAGGGATTTATGCTACAGTCATGTCAAGTCACAGTGAGAACAAGTCCAAAATGAGAACTCTTGGAAATATCAGCATCATTAACACACAAGATAATTAAAAAGAACTTAATTTAAAATAGTCCAGAAATCAAAATGCAAGACCCCCCCCCCCCAGTGGCACAGTGGTATGTCTGCGGACTCACAACGCTAAAAACCAGATTTCGATACCCGTGGTTGGCAGAGCATAGATAGCACATTCTGTAGCTTTGTGCTTAATTTCCAACAAACAAATATTCAAAATGCAAATACTATATTTTCAAGCCTACAACTAGGGACTTAAAAAAAATAAACAAACTAGTCTGGAAATGGTGTCTACATTATTTTCTCAAGCTATAAATCCCTATTCTGACTCAACTAAAATTGATAAGTACTGTAGGCATAGAGTCAAAATATTGAACAATTCAAATTGAACACATAATGTTGCCTGCCAACTGGTGAAATCATTCACAGTATCATGAGCTTAGTGAACATCCAAAATACAGCTCCAATGCATTATGACTCTACTCTGGATATCAGTTTCAAACAAAAGATGACGATGGCTGTTTGATTCGTTAAAATAAGTTCTGATTAAGTCGAAATTAGAGAACACTTTATGGATTTATTGGAATGAAAAACCCAACGGGCATTGGTATAAAAGAACGCTACTGCAAAACTTCAAGAATTGGGATTCAAGACTATAAAACTAAGCGAATACGAAAAATAAGAACAGTAGAGTTCAGTCTAAAGTTTTACCAATAAATCAAGGACATTTTTTGTGACATGTTGTTCTATCTGCCTTGATTTGGTTATTAATTATGTTATAATGTCCTGTCTTGAAGCTGTATCTTTTTCTAAGTTTCAAACAAATGTTTTCAAAATATTTAACCACAGTAAGTGTTAATCCACTCTCAAACACACAAAAGTTTAAGGGATCTATTTTAGTAGCCTTAACTAAATACATGATGCTCATCAGAACTCTTGAAACAAGAAGTTACAAAAGTGTATGATACTTTATTAGCTCTAACAGAAGACGCGATGCTCATCAGGACTCATGGAACAATAAGGTTGTTTGTTTGTTTGGAATTAAGCACAAATTTACACAATGGGCTAGCTGTACTCTGCCCACCATGGGTATCGAAACCCGGTTTCTAGCGTTGTAAGTCTGCAAACATACCGCTGTGCCACTGGGGGGCGGAACAATAAGAAGCTGTGCAGCCAAGTTCCGAATCATCAACTTCCCGTGTTGTCAAGTAATTTGACAAGATGCGCTTTTTCAAGTGAAAATATATAATAAAAACATCACAGAAGTCTCACTTATACTTATCGCCTGCGATTTCTATTACAGAAAAAATTATATCTTCTCTAGAGAATGTCCGATCTAATGAGCGGTTTGCAAGGGCCATGACAGATGCAAAAACCGAAAAAGCTGGGGATTGATACGAATTTCCAACCAAATTTATCTTTGAATATTAGAAAAGAGGAAAAACCAGTTAAAATCCAGTGCTCATCAGAACTCATGGAATAAGTAGTTACAAAAATGCATGACTCATCAAAACCAACTGGTTAAGGGTTAATATCATAAATAATATTCAACGTTAAACTGCTACACAGTTAAAAACATTTTATTTAGGCCTATCTATGGCCTTCAAAAAGTTGACGACTCTACATGTTTCGACGTTACAACGTCATCCCCAGCGACTCTCACTAGGACCACGTCCCCCAGGTGTAGGTGGAGAACCACTGCTCTAACATATACATTGCATTGAGGATTCTTCTGATTTTGCCAAGAACAAAAGCTTTTTAAGATTTAAACTAATTAAATTTTAACTGTCCATGATGTCAGAACGTAAGCTTCAAATCACCAAATCAAGGGACTCGAAAGGGCATGTTCGAGAGTGAGCTTCATTAAAAGCCCAAAAAATTGTTTTTGTTTCTTTCCTTCTGATTAAGTACAAAGTTATACCATGGGCTATCTGTGCTGTGCCCACTACGAGTATTGAAACTCAGTTTTTAGGTTTTTAGCGATGTGAGCTCTCAGACTTACCGCTGAGCCATTGGGGGAGCGAAAAGTGAATTTTTTGTTGTTATTTAAAGTTTTGGTATTTAAGTATTCCAAATATTTGCCTTCTAATAGAAATTTCAAACTTAAAAGTTAAAATAACTTCATTTGTTTTGCATATCTGACTCTAATGATGAACACGTGTGTGTTAACATCCATCATCCAGAGTTGGTGGCTCGATTACCGTAAATTTTTGTACTCTAAAAAAAGAAACTTTCCGATTGTGTATATGGGCTATTTTGTTTTAGGATTTTTGCCCGAGAAGGGGGATAAAAAGCCCTTAAAATAGGGCACATTTTCACTGTTCTACAGACTTATGGCTTTGAATTTAAAGACATAAGTATTTAATCAATTAAATGAGTCAATTATTACCTTCAACAAAGCAGGGTATGTAATTAGCATCTAATAACGTCATTAGAAACTTAATAGCAAACAAAGGGAACATTATCTAGCATTGTCCTTCATACAAGTTTTGCTTCTAGTAATCATAAGTGAACTTGTTGTACCATATAAAACAATGTACCTTATTTTAGCGCCGCGTCATTTAGTAAGTGTTAGCCCAGGCAAACATAATAGAATAGTTACATATTTTGCCTACGACGGTAAAAACCCTAAGGCTGACACTACAATTAGTTCACCTAAATGAATTACAAAAAAGTTAACGTTATATTAGTTAAAACACCTGCCTAAGAAGCGGGAATACGAGTTTGAATCCTAAATAGTCTCAATTTTCACAATTAAAAATATATTGCAAAAAACATTTCTTGTGACAGCTTGAGTCTTCATCTTGTCTTTAACCCATTCACTGCGGCTGTCACATATGCAGGTCGGACTTTTTTCTTCTGTATTCTGCGGCTGTGCCCTTTATGGGATTTCGTTGACATCTTGAGCGGTACTGACGAAAAAGGACAAAACATGATCGACCCCATTGTTCGGTAACAATGCTTGGGTGGAGAATGTTAAACACTCATAAATAACCCTTACTAGTTCACGCGGAAACTTAAAAGGTGAAATCACATATATGGAACAGTCGGATTACAATAACATCTGTACCGAAGGAAGGAAGAGATCTACATAACACTTGACCATCCCAGATCCCGATCAAGATCAAAAATAATAACAGCCGCAGTGTACAGAAGCAAAAAGCCCAACCCGTATACGTGACAGCCGCAGTGAATGGGTTAATTAAGATCAACTGGTGTAACATTCCACCTTTTTGAAAAGATACCTCTTCGATAAGAACAATTTACACAAATCTACAAAAAAAGGCTGTCAGCTCCAGTATTCCCCAATTTAGAAGTGACAGACTAGAAATAAGGCAGCTAGTCAACAGCACTTACCACAACTCTCGGGCTACATTAACTGAATAATAAGATTAACCAGTCTTATAACACATTCACAGTCCCAATGTGGAGCGCGAATTTGGAACAAGAGGATGTGAACCACTGACCTTCGGATTCACAGTTTGGCACACTAACCATAGGCCACGACCGGATATTATTTTGTAATGCATTAAAAACGAAACTCTTGAAATTGCGTATGCACTAGTAATGTCTATCTACATCACTCCAAATATAGTTATACAAAATGTAAACAGTAAGCAAAAATAAATAAATTAATAAGTTATGTGTTAAATATTTATTACTCTTTGTGAAGTTAGACAGATGGTAAAAGAGAATTATATTACAAAGTCAATAAATATTTCTCGCATCTGTCCAAGCCTTACGAATAAAAACGCCCTCCGGCTGCTCAGTAGAAAGTCTGAGGGCTTATATTACTACAAATCGAGTTTCGATACCAGCTATGGGCAGAGCAGCAGGTACCCCATTGTGCAGCTTTGTGTTTAACAACTAAACGAACATGATTATGAAATTACAGCAAGTTTAAACATTGAATATCATCAGGTTCTTACACGATTACTTTTATGTTCTAATAAAGTTTTGTAGTTTATAAGCGTGTTTATTTGCTCACTGCGCCCCTCCCTTTACCCTGCCCTTTTGACTTCGGGTAGGTTTGAAGTCTTTGTCCTGAATAATTTGGACACTGTGATAACCAGCTTCTCAGGTACGTTCACATGAATGAAAAATGCTAACAAACATAAATATTAAAATAGTTACTTTATTGAGTAATTTGCGCGATATTACATCATAGTAAGGATGATAATATGTTTAAGGTATCGTTCTTTACTGACCTTATATGGGTTTACCTCAGATAGGGTCTAAAAATTCAAATTGAGAAAATGAGCTGCCAACAATATATATTTCTTCAAAGTTACAGATGCACTCATAATGGAACTTGTAATAAACTGTATTTATTTGTTTTTCGTTCAGTTTATGCTGTTAAACATTAACTCGTTATAAGTTTAATCCTGATGTAACCAGGGTAACATTATGTATAAACAGTTGCTCGGAAAAATATTTTGACCATATAAGTACCAGCAACAAATACTGTCGCTGTAGTATCGGTACTATATCAGCGCAGGTTCTCGGCCTCAACTTAAGAGATGGCGAAATTCAAGTTTGAACACAGTTGAAACAAAGTTTAGGTCAACAACTTCTTATTTACATGAGAACAATATAGTCAAGTTCCGGTTCATTATTGTGTTTAACGTCAAAGAAGAAACCTTACCTTGAACGATTAATATGCCAAGAAAGGTAAAATAAAGGTTGTCACACCCAACTTTCCTTACAGTAACACACTCTGTTCTAACAATCTTGTATAGCCAACGTTCTTCACCTCTTGATAGACTCTCCTATCTCCCGCCGGTTAAAAGCTCTCGCCATATGATGCACGCGCCCTCCTGAGTCAAATAATAATACTAGTTATCTGAGGGACCGTTGAGTAATTGTGAAATTTAATCAGGAATATTGTCATTAATGTATATATATATATATATATACACACAACAGATTCATGAGCGGAAAACGTAGTCTGATCTTGAACAATACAATCACAGAAGTAGCGAATAACAATATATATAATGAAAGTTTCGGCATACACATATTCCATCTTCAGCAAATTTCTACAGTAAATACAAAATTATAATTACAAATTATTTTGTTTGTTTGCCGGTTTGTTGTTTAAGAGCAAACCTGCACAATGAGCTATCTGTGCTGTGCCCATTGCGAGTATCGGAACCCGGTTTTTAGCATTATAATCCTCCAGACTTATCGTTGGGCCACTGGAGGGCATGACATATAATAACCTGAATGTTGAATATAATTCTATGCATTATAATAAACATTTGTAAGAACAATGTTGAGACACAAATGGAAGGGGGATTGTAAAAACCAGTAAATAAATTTTGATATAGACCCACACTAAATAAGTAAGTAAATTTATCTATATAGCTATGATAAAGAATTAAAACTAGCTTAACTCAACAGAAATTGAGTTATGATTTAGACTATAGAGATTTTGTTGAATAAGTATACTCTATTTAATCAAAGTTTCATGTCTGTACGACATACAGCTAAAACTTTAAAGCTCGCGGATGTTACTATATGTCCAGTAATTTGTCTTAGATCTGTAGGAAATCCCCGTGTGTTCTTGGATACGTACATTTAAACTGCACTTGGTTTTGCCAATGAAGGTGGCTTTTCAGCTACCATACGTATATGAGTAAATAATCGATGAATAAAGAGCAGTCTTTGTATAGAAAAAAAGTTGTATTTGATACAATGATTTAAAGACCACTCAAAGTTAAATGTACATGTAATACTTATGCAACAATTTAGTGAGTTGACTTTAAAGTATTAAGTTCTGTTTACCCCAAGTAACGAAGGCAGAGACTCAAACACCTATTAATAATAGAAAATCTGTGTTTTTTTTTTCTTACACAAAGAACCTTCTGTGGCCTTTTCTATATAGTTGGTTGGTTTAGAGGTTCTGAATTAATTACTATGGTTGCTGGTGTGAGGAAAAAGACTTTCAAACAATGAAGACAGGAAGGATTGTATGTCTTTACCAGACAGATGGATTGAGCTTATACTATACTTTCAAGTCAAACCAAAGTTCTTATGTGTTGCTCAGAATCCTAGATTTTACACGTAAATTATTATACACACATTGAAATTAGGTTTAGTCCCCTGCTCATAAGAGCTTGAGCAAACCTATGTAGCATTCTTTCATATAAGTTTCATTGATCTACACCCAAGGGGAGAAATGACACAGAACCGTGGCCAGACGAGTATATGTCCTATGGAATGACCACTGTAGAATGTAAATTTACTTCGGTATGAGAATTAAAGCAATTTTGATTTGAATGTTACTAAAGGCAGAACCCCTTCGTGCAAAACTCTGAAAATAATTCCCGAGTACACATTCGTAAAGATATATTTTTCTAGTTGCAAAAGAATAAAATCTAATAGTTTTCAACTGCTATACCTGATAACATTATTAATGTTCTTATGTAATACTTCTATTATTATATGAATTATTTTGTCTTCCATACTTTGTTATTGAATCTAACCAGTTTTGAACTAAATTTTTTGCATTACTATGATTTAATCCTCAGTTGTTTTAATTTTCACACAACAAATAAATGAAATTTGTTTTAGACTAGGTCTGATCAGTGGCTTAACCTGGTGTTTTTGTATGTTGGTGTTCTTAAATTTCGCACAAAACTACACGAGGGCTATCTGTGCTTGCTGAACCTAATTTTGAAGTGATATACTAGAAGGAAAGCAAAGAGTCAAAGCCAACCATCGACAACTCGTGGTCTAGTTTTTGAATTATAGTTTTTGTTATGGACACAAATTATATTTGGCATAGACTCTTGGCTATCTAAGTACAACCCAGTTAATGAGTAGTAGTATAGTACTAGCTAGTGATCGATGGCAGACTAAAGATACATCCGAAACATGTGATAAACATATTCCTTATTTAAAATTTGCGATGGGATAAATAACAGAAAAGAAGAAAAAACTCTAGAATTAAGCATGATTTTAATATTCTTACCAGGCCTAAGAAGCCTAAATAGTTTCGCCAACCTAAGTATTTACACCACCTCAGTGTCACTTTAGTACAAAATAAAAGTACCATCCTTCGTCGCCTTTAGCGTTTCATAAACACTGCAAAAATCATAATAAAGTAATATATATGACATCATTATTTAATAATTGCTTGTTTAAAGTTGAGCACAAAGGCACACAAAGGGCTATCTGTGCTCTGCCCACCACGGGTATCGAAATCCAGTTTGTAGCGTTGTAAGTCCGCAAACATACCGGACTTACAACGCTAGAATCCGGGTTTCGATACCCGTGGTGGCCAGAGCACAGATAGCCCATTGTGTAGCTTTATGCTTAATTACAAAGAAAAAGAAAGAAAGAAACTAAATAATGATGCCATATATATTGCTTTATAATAGTGTTGCACTTTATTATAAATAATGACGTCACATTTATAATTATGTCATATATATATATTTATAATGGTGTTACATTTATTGCTATATAATGATATCATATCTATCACTTTATAATGGTGTTGCACTCATTACCAAATAATGATTTCACATTTATAATGATGTCATATATATATATATATATTTAATTATTTATATATACATGTATTACTATATAATTGTTTGTTTGTTTGTTTTTTGAATTTCGTGCAAAGCTACACGAGGGCTATCTGCGCTAGCCGTCCCTAATTTAGCAGTGTAAGACTAGAGGGAAGGCAGCTAGTCATCACCACTCACCTCCAATCCTTGGGCTACTCTTTTACCAACGAATAGTGGGATTGACCGTCACTGTATAACGCCCCCACGGCTGAAAGGACGAGCATGTTTGGTGTGACGGGGATTCGAACCCGTGACCTGCAGATTGCGAGTCGAGCGCCCTAACCACCTGGCTACTATATAATGATACCGCATCTATTATTTTATAATGGTGTTCCACTTATTACTAACTAATGAATCACGTTTTGCCAACTTAAGCGTTTTTTATCCCTTGCTATATAGTTAAACACATGTTCAAGGCATTCGTGACTATTTTCAGAGTAACTAGAACTGAACTGTTATAAAAAAAATCAATGCTTAAATTCTTACTGAAACTGAACATAATACAGGACTTATGTCCGTTGTGTCAAGGAACAATCCTTTCTCATGGATATAATTAGCAAAAAAGTTTGCTGATTCAAGACAGTGATATATCTTTACGAGCAGCTGGTTTTGAGCTTATTCTGTCAGAGATATTTGATCAATAATACAATAGATTTCACACACTCAAACACAAAATCGTAGACATATTTATTCTGGCTCAGCATGTAAGTGATTTTTTTTTATAGTTTTCCATAAATTTCTAAGAATTAAATAATCAACAATAAATCATTAACATTCAAATGATATGTGATATAAAAATGACCATCTGAAAGCTCTAAAACTATTAAGGCAAAAAAGTAAATCGGTAAATATTTTATATATATTGGAATAATTATTTGGTCACTAAATGAATAATACAAAATAACTTGAAATATTAACTAAAATACGTTTACTATGTTTAATGCCCCCCAGTGGCACAGCGGTATGTCTGCGGACTTACAACGCTAGAAACCGGGTTTCGATACCCGTGGTGGGCAGAGCACAGATAGCCCTTGTGTAGCTTTGTGCATAATTAAAAACAAACAAACTATGTTTAATGAATTAAATTTCAGTCATTCATTTGATGCTATATTTTTCATTGGTTCCTCGTAACACTTAACTTGATGAATGATACAAAGGGGTAGAATATCGTAAACTCTTTCAAACCACAAACTAAAATAATCTTTCACATCAAATGATCAGATATAAATTAACCGATCGATTTAAGTTTGGCGTTGTGTTGTTGCAAACGTCTTTCTGGCGTTATTTCTGGGATTCGAACGTCGAGGAGGTATCATCACGTGCCAAATAAATGTAAAAGAATGTTGATCAATTTCACTATATACTTATCCCAACAAACACCAGAAACTTAAAGGTGAAGTGATTAGTTATTTTAACTCTGATAATTGTCAGTAATTTCAAGAGATCTTTACATAATTATGGCACACTAATGTATTCTAATGTTTAGCTAATCCTTTTGATCTTCTTGCACTTCAACTCTCATCGTTTCTATGAAATAATTAGGACTGGCGTTTATCTTTAATTAGTGCGAACAAGTATGTAACAGAAAATATTTTGATCTTGTTTTAAAATGAAGTTCCGATAAATGTATCTAATTCTTGCTTTCGGGCTTTATCATGTTTACGCTTCCATGATTGGATAACCAAGAATCTAAAATAATTTAATTAATGATTTTTGTGATGGAATATAATGTTTTAGAAACGAAACATTACAAAAATCCGACAATGGCGGCGGCTTTTAAGCATCGGTTGTTTTAGATTGTTTGTAGTTATGCACAAAGTTACACAAGGGCTATCTGTGCTCTGCCCACCACGGGTATCCAAACCCGGTTTCTAGCGTTGTAAGTCCGCAGACATACCGCTGTGCCACTGGGGGCTTAAGCATCGGATGAAAGCTAACACTGATATTTTATCCGTGACTGGCTTGGCGCAAATTTTTCTGAGAGTTTTTTGAAAAAAAGTGTTGTGTCTTCTTCCTTCTAACTCTTGACCATATTCCAAGCTCCCATTTCATGCTATAAGTGTCTAACCTGTTTTATTTGAGTTTCCAGAAAAATCATTTTTGTGCGTCGGTAGAATGTTAGTTGAAGTACGAGATCGTGGAAAAAAATGGAGTCACTGGCTTCACTCGGACGTTAGCTTGATT